GTATCGTATCGTGACTTTGCTGGTGATACACAGCCCTAGTACTCAGTATCGGCTGCAAAAATCCTGATCTGAGCATCCCTAATAAGCTGTAATGGCGCAGTTCTATTCTGGAAAAGGGGGCGGGGAGCAGTAGCTCATTTGCATTTAAAGACACAGGCCCGAAAAACAGTGTGTTTCTGCTTCCACTCTGTTCCATGATCTGTGGAGTATTTTGAGCTGAAACTTCACAGACACATTCTGGGGACACCAGAGACTTATATTGTAAAAAGGGGCATAATATGTCTCCTTTAAACTTCTCATATGCCACTGTTATTAGTAATATAACTTCTAATGCCAACTGCCAAATATGACACTTACAAATTAATACAATTTATGAACGCATATAGAAAGGAGAGAAAGTAGGGATTTTTAAAAAATTTTTCATTGTTTTATTTTATTTTTTTACACTATTTAGTAGGGATGTAACGGTATGAAAATTTCTTATCACGATTATAGTGACCAAAATGATCACGGTTATCAGTATTATCACGGTATTGTTAAAATGTGCTGGAAATGTTCAAAAAGTACTGACACACAAATCATTTCACCAAGTTTTACATTTAAAATCAACAAATAAACGTAAGCAAACAAATAAACAACAAATAAAATGAGTTTTTGTTTGCATAATTAAAACAATAACATTGCCAATGATGTCCGGATTTTAAATGACAACATGACTGACAACAGTTTATCTAATAGCATGTTCAAATATCTCATGTAAATGTTCAAATAAAGCTTTGAAAAAGTTTCATAAATGGTAAAACTCACATTTCAGCTTTAAAATAAAGAAAAGGGTCAAGTCAAAATGACAATTGATTAATAAATGATTATATGTATTTATCTGCTCCATAAATAATACTAGATACCTTATTGTTTAAATGTGTAGAATCCACATAAGCTTGTTTTTCATCAACCGGTCAAAATTTACAGCAGGGCATGCTAATTCGGTCTGTTTTTTTTATCTACACACCTTTCACCTTTTAAGACTAAAACAAAAGATGGATTCATTGTTATTCTTAATTAAAAAGCATAACAACAATAAAACGGTAAGAAAGATACAATGACAAACTAGCTTATAAAACGTTTA